CAAAGGTAGTTTTTTTGGAACAGCTTGCGATTTTAAAATATTTTGTAAATCAAAGCAAAATTTCGCTAAGTGTCCAAACCTACCACAAACATTACACTTAAAAACATGTGGTCTACTAGAAACATTTGACAAACTAGATTTTCTTTTCAAATCAAAATAATACTTAGCCAAATGATCAAAACGACCACAATGATCACATTTAAACACACTAGCATGCTTATGATGAGAAATAGATGCATGTGCATGTGTGTGTGATGAAGAAGCCTTATGAGATGCACAAGAAGCATTAGTCTTAGAAGATTTGTGTGCATCATAGCAAAATTTAGTAATGTGATCTTTACGACCGCAAAATGAGAATTTATAAACTTTGCTATATAAGTGTGCATAGTGTGTAGGTGATTTTGTAGTACTAGATTTAGCATACTTGTCCATAAGTTTCTTATGGTTATCAATGCATATTCTCAAAGTTGAATCTAAAGATGAAATGCGTTTATTCACAAGATTCAAATCTTTATTATTAGGTACATATACATTTTTATTAGAAGTAGAACATAAATAGTCATTTATGAAAGAAGCAGTATTATTTTGTATGTTCTCAACTTCTAATATGGCATTATTTTTGTCATGAGTCAAGTTAGCAATATCCAATTTCAAATTATTATTTTCCAAATTTAGCATATCATTGTTTTCTTTAAGAGCAATATTTTCTTGAGAAATGATATAAAATTTGGAAGCTAACTTCTCATGATCGGATTTTAAATCTTCATGCTTACTTTTTAAGTCTAAAAAGATATGATGCAATTTATTATAGGCATGCAATAATTTTTTACTAGCACAAGCAAGTTCATCACTAGATAAATCATTAGTGGATTCGAACTCGCAAACCTCACTAGGGCTATCGCCTAGTAGTCGTGTGCATGATGCTCCATATGAACTTGAAGCTGGATCCTCCAAAGCTTGTCGGATCGCCTCCAAGTCCCCTTGATGTGATTCAATAAGTTTTCATAAGTTGTAAGCACTATCAAAATGAACAAACTTGTTAGGCATAGATGCATCAAGAGCATTTAGCAAATATTCTAACAAAATATTGTTCATTGTAAACATACGATGATCATTTTTATTCCACTTGGATTTCTCCGTAGTGGGCACAATATAAGCATCATCTATAATTTTCCCTAAATCAAAGTGTTTAGATTGAACAAAAAGTTTAAATCTAACACACCATTGGGCATAGGAGAAATTATCTAATCTTGGAGCAATATTGATGGCATAACCTAAACTAGATGCATCGTTCAAATCCATAATGTATATATGCAAGCAAGATACAAAAATCAAAAATTGGATTAGCACAAAAAGATAACTTGGATCTTTAACTCAAGGCGATTAGACCTTAAATCAAAGAGCACCAAGCTCTGATACCAATTGTTAGACCCAAGAGGGGGGGGATGATTAGGGTCTTATGCTAATCTAATCCGATTTTATGCTAATTAAAACTAATTAACAAGTTATCCTAGCAAGTATGAAATACAACAATATATGTGAGTTAGGATAAGCAATATGAACAATAAGATATATCCTATATGATAAAAAAAAATATATGCAAGGATATATAAACTAACACAAGGGTGATATAATCAAACTACAAACGTGATAGGGCGAAATATAGGCAATTGGCGATATAAGATAAATGCATAAGTAAATGCGCCAAAGACAAACTCAAACACATTCAAATGATCACGGAGTTCGGACCTTACGTCCTACGTCTCTGCTCCCCACTCCCGGGGAGAAATTCACTATCACAACCGGGTTTTCTACGCTCACCCGAATAACGTTTACACCTCACAATGTCGGTTTTCAATGCTCACCGATCAACGTTTACAAACACTCACAATGTTGGTTTTCAACGTTCACCGATCAACGTCTACACTCCTCACACTTGGTTTTTTAGCTCACCGAAAACTTTACAATCTCACAAAATAACAAATGATTGTTCTCAAATATGGATGAGAACACAATGAAGCTCACTGTCAATGTTACAACACTCACCAACCCAAATATACTATCTATGCAAATACAATAAGCTCAAGTGGGTGTGTGTAAACAATGAGTGAAATAAAATCTAACTCAAATAGCAAACTAGCAATAATAAGAATATAAAAATTAATAATAAAATTGCTAGAGAAAAGAGTTAGAAAACTTCTTTATAAACACAAAGAGAGGATGATGAAATATTGAAGATGAACTCTTCAACAACTGATGTAAGCTCCTCTTTGTAAAACCCCAAACTTAAAACAAACTAACCAAGATTAAACCCTTATTAAACTTTTGTTTTAAAAACTTCTTGGTTGGTTTGAGAACTGAGATCAATGAGGTATTTATAGCCTCCCAAAACCTTAGCCAAAAACTCCAAAGGAAAAGACTAAAAAGCCCAAGAATCAGAAATCTGATTCTGTACCAAAATGACCGTTGGGTGAACGGCGGTCGACCGTGAAAATCTCGCGGTCGACAGCGAGCCACTTTCGAAGCTGAGAATTTTCCATAGATTTTTGCGGTTGACCGTGGGAAAATTCGACCATGACGGTCGACCGCGAAAGTTTCTGTTTGACTCCGCAGGTAAAAACTCAGGTGCGGTCGACCGTGGCGGTCGACCCCAAATTAACTGATACATGAACAGAACAGTTTGAAAGTTGATTTTCTGATTTTAAAACCCTATTTAAAAATATCAATTTCATATCTATGAAATTAAACCAAACCAACTTATCCACATAAAAACAAACATGTATGAATATAAATATTTATTTATATACTTGTAAAAACTTTGTTTGTGGATAAACTAAAATCCAAAATGTGTGTGTGTGTGTGTGTGTGTGTGTGTGTGTGTGTATATATATATATATATATATATATATAAACCAATAAAATGTGTGTGTATATGATATTGAGCTTAAAGTACTTAACACATATAATATAAACTCATAAACTAAATTATCCAAGCTTGATCTTGATCTTCAATAGATTGACTTGGTAAACTTGCGGATAAAGCTTGAATTTGGATCTTGAACTTGAATTGCATAGGCTTCAACCACTATTCCACCAACCTCCATTTGATATGATCGTTATGACGCAATCCATCCAACCTCCAACTTGTTGTATGTCTACAATAAGGGGCTGTTTGGTTGCACACTTTTTGAGAAAACTTTTCTCAAAACATCTGACAATGGCAAATTTATAATTAAAAGCTTTCCAGAGATTTCTGTAAATTGTGTTTGGTTCAACAAAAAATTTACAGAAATATTTTCTATAAAATATCAAAACCTACCAAATTTTACAAAAAACAATTTCCTCTCAAAATGAGAGGAAATCACCAGAAATCTGACACATACCATATTTAATAAAAAACCTACCAAATCTTGTTATTTTCTATAAAGTTATGAGCCATTTTCTTGTTTTGAACCAAACAAGCAAAGTACAAAAAACAAGAAAATTGGTACTTTTTGATTTCTCAAAACTTTTCCTATAATTTTTTTAAGAAATACAAGGAAATCATATTTTAAGTGGAAAACATTTCCTATAATTTCTAGAAATTGAACCAAACACCCCCTAAATAGAAATACACAAACACTAGACAAACAATATTAGTAGTAAATTATTTGTTAAACATCATCAAAATAATAAGGCCAACAATAAAACTATCCGACATGTGTATATCAATTTCTATAAACTCAACTCTAATATTTCGATTTCCCAATTAAAAATGCATGCTCTTGGACGTGAAATAATACATTACTACTCACGAACTACCTAAGAACCTCCAGTTATTTAAATGTCTTTTTGATCATGAGCAAAACATGACCACGAGCAAAAAATTAGGCACCTGTGTGAAAATTCCAATATGATGATCTTGACAACAGATATGATACGCATGTAATATATGCTGAACTCATTCGGAAGTTTATTCTGAGATAGTTTATGAGCAATAGATTACATCTAACGTTGTGGATTTTCAATTTTGATAGTATCCACATCTATATACTATTAATAGATACCTATAAGAAATTTGCTCAAGCTCAGGTCTCCGCAAAGCCCTGTTTCATTTGCTCTGTTTATCGTTCCGACTAATGGGATCCAAAAAGTTAAGATTTTGATTGAGTTTTTAATGTGGGTTTTTGATTGTAGGTGCATTTGTGTTTGTTGATGAGTTCAAGAGTTTGGACTACAAGAAGATTTATGAGAGCAGGCAGAAACCTACATTCATTTTTGATGGGCGCAATGTGGTTGATGTTAAGAAAATGAGGAAGATTGGATTCATTGTTTACGCCATTGGAAATCCATTAGAAAACTGAGATTCCTATCTGATTGCATTTTAGTTACATACTTTGTATTGGATGTTATCAGTTGGGCAAGAAGATTTATGAGAACTGAGATTCCTATCTGATGTGTGTTATATTCCTTCTAATATTGAGTTATTTTTGTTGTGTTCATTACTGAGTTGTTTTTTTTCTTTGTTTTTTTTGTTCTTGGTTCTTCTCTGCTTATGCTCACAAAACAAGGCTTTATCAGTTGACCTTTGATGCATATCATAAGACATTCAAAATTTATTTGATATTCATCAATGAAACCCTTACATTCAAACTGCTTGCCCAAGCTAACGTAGCTTACAACTCAATATTTATATTCTTTTACAATAAAATTTACATCAGTTGGTAAAATCAGGCAAGGAAAAGAAACGAAAACTCCTTTCATTCTCTATCAATTTACATAATAGCATACAATTTTGTTTTTCCCTTGCAATAATACGCCTTGTAGGATTGTTTCTCTCAAAGGGGTATCACACAAATGGGTATCAATTTACATAATACCATCATAAGCTCAGATTAGTATCAAACAAATTGAGCGGGGGCGGCGATCTTCGAAGTCGGTGATTTCGTGCGGTGGAAAGGAGGAGGTCGAGGTGATGGCGAGGGTGATGAGCCAGCATCGATGCTGAGAGGGGCGAGGGGATGTCGAGGGCGGCGAGCTTCGGTGAGCTTCGGGCTGCGATCGGAGGCTCGGGGCAGGGCGCAGATGGACGTCGGGCTAAAGGGGAGCTTGGGCAATGGGGGAACGGCTGGGCGAACGGCATCGGGGATGAGATGGCGATGTCGGAGGGCGGAGGGATCTGCCAAGCTCGAGCTCGAGGGGGGCTGAGATCGGAGAGGACGGCATGCTCGAAGGCGGAGTGGTGAGCGCAGTCGTGGAGGGTGGTGCAGGCGGCGACGAGATGGCGGGGAGGGTTGCTCGGCGAGTGGAGAGTTAGGCATGGAGTGTTGGATTTAATCTAATAAATCTATTTGTGGGCACATATGATTAATCAATGTGTATTGCTATCTTTCAGGATAACCCACTAAAGTGATCAATTAATTTGGATTAATGGGTATTTAAATAAGTCATGGGGTTATATGTACAGATACCAGGTTGTAACTGTAATTTGATGAGGGGCCAAATTACAAATATACAACACCTATATATATGGGGTTATGGTCCCTAATCTAGGGTTAGCCACTCTCATTCTCTTATCCCCATCTAAAGAGATCCATAAGAGAGAAACCCTAAGGTTAGAAGATCATCAAAACCCTAATCAAGTTTTCTTCAATGGATTCAGGTATATGCTTCCGCACCTTTTGATTCTTGTTAATCTCTTTGAATTAAATCATGGCTTTATGGTTTAGATCTCAAGTTTTATTATTCAGATCTAACAAGTGGTATCAGAGCCACCATTGATTTGTTCTAGGAGATTAAGATTAAAATTAGGGTTCTTTGATCTTAATTTGTGTTTGATTCAGATCTGTTCACGGATAAACAATAACGTTTTTTAATTATTCGGATGAACAGTAAAGTTTTTTATTTTCGCGCGTACAGTAAAATTTTATTTTCGGATGAACAGTAAAGGTTTTTTATTTTCGGATGAATAGTAAAATTTCCTGTTTGTTTGGTTTTTTCTTTCGATTTTTGGATCTGTAGCAATTATGAACTCTAAAGTTCATTTCTTTTGTGTTTGATTCAATTTTTGAGGTTTGGATCTAAATGATTTGAGTTCAAAAATCGACAGAAAAATAATTATCTTTTTTTTGGGGTTTTTTTTGATCTGTCTTCAATCTCCAAAACTCCTCGCCGGAGTTGATTCAGCGGCGGCGGTTTCAGATTAAACCCTCAAGGGGTTCGTGCGCGTGAAAACGTGCGGAAATTAAGGAGGTGGTTACCTTAATTTTTGGCGAGGCTTGAAAGCTTCAAACGAACCTTACGTTCGTTCTCAAACGAAACTCGCGTTCGTTCTCGGGCGAGCCTCATGCTCGATTCAGACGAACATTGTGTTCGTGCTCAAGTTGAACATTGCGTTCATTCTCAGGTCGAACATCGTGTTCGTTTTCAGACGAACATTGCGTTCGTGCTCAAGTTGAACATTGCGTTCATTCTCAGGTTGAACCTCGCGTTCGTTTTCAGACGAACATTGCGTTCGTGCTCAAGTTAAACATTGTGTTCATTCTCAGGTCGAACCTCGCGTTCGTTTTCAAACGAACATTGAGTTCGTTCTCAAATCGAACCTTGCGTTCATTTTCAAAACGAACCTTGCGTTCGTTCTCAAGTTGAACATCACGTTCATTTTCAAACGAACCTCGCGTTCGTGCTTAGGTGAGTGCACGTTCATTTTCAAACGAACCTCGCGTTCGTGCTTAGGTGAGTCTCGTACTCAATACAGACGAACCTCGCGTTCGAAGTCAAGCGAACTTCGTGTTCACTATGGTTAAGCCTCGGCTTCTCATATTACGTTATGGGTTCACTTTGGTATACTTAATTTATTCAATTAAGTTATGGGCCCTATTTAAGCTATGGAAATTTAAATTAAATTAATTTAAATTTAATTTGGTTTTTAATCAATTATTTAATTCAAATATTATGACACTAAGGTATTAAGGTTGTCTCTCACTCCAATTGATTAATTGAAACAAGAAGTTGCCAAAGTAACCTCTCTTGTGTAGATTGTTCATGAGGAATGTGAGATGTTTGTGTGTATGCTTTCGTGTAAATATTTAATCGGCCCAAAGGAAGGTTAATATTTATTTAGACTGTATACACATCTGCGATGATAAGCGTGTGACAATTATAAGGTTTACATGTGAATAATGAATCGATCCAAAGATAGATTCATTATTTGACATGAGTTATTGTTAATGTTTGATCATTGTAATAAGGTATCACTTACAATTAATATTACTGTCCAAAGACTTGATATTAATGTTGTGCCAGATATCTTAGATGAGATTTGTCATTATTTGAATTTTATTGATTACTAATTATGGTTATTGATGTGAGTTTTTTTTTGTTTTATTTCAGTTAATGCATCTGCTGCAACAATTTCTGCTAACATCAACTCAATTCCCATGCTAAATGGGACAAACTTTAAGGTTTGGAAAGAGAACATATTAATTGTTCTTGGCTGCATGGATCTAGACCTTGTATTAAGAACTGAACAACCCCAACCTCTTAATGCGGATAGCACTCCTGATGCAAAGAAGGAGTATGAGAAGTGGGACCGTTCAAATCGCATGAGTCTTATGATCATTAAGCGCGGCATTCCGGAAGCCTTCAAGGGCATAGAATCCGAAGGGCTTACTAAGGCTAAAGATTTTCTTGCCGAAATTGAGAAACGTTTTGCGAAAACCAATAAGGTAGAAACAAGCACGCTTTTAGCTCGCTTGATTTCAATGAAGTATAAGGGCAAAGGAAATATCAGGGAGTACATTATGGAAATGTCTCATATTGCTTCAAAGCTTAAAGTATTTAAACTCGATCTTTGTGATGAGTTATTGGTGCATCTGGTTTTGTTGTCTCTTCCTGTACAATTCAATCAGTTTAAGGTCAGTTATAACTGTCAAAAGGAGAAATGGACTCTAAATGAGCTCATTTCATACTGTGTGCAAGAAGAAGACAGGTTGAAGCAAGATAAGACAGAAAGTGCTCATTTGGCCTATGCCTCTAAGGATAAGGGCAAGAAAAGGAAGAATGATAATGAAGCTGCTAAGGGTCCAGTTCAGAAGAAACAACATAAGGATAATCAGGGTTGTTTCTTCTGTAACAAGCCTGGACACGTAAAGAAGGATTGTACCAAATATCACGCTTGGCGTGCTAATAAAGGGTAGCCTGAGCTACCGAAAGCCAAGTGATGTTGAAAGACACATCTTTGTGGGCGACGGACAATCGGTAGATGTGGAAGCAATTGGGCACTTTAGGTTGCTATTAGGATCTGGTTCTTATTTGGACTTAAAAGATACTTTTGTAGTACCGTCTTTTAGACGGAATTTGGTTTCTGTTTCTGTATTGGACAAATCAGGTTATCATTGTTCATTCGGAAACAATCAATTTAGTTTATCTTTTAATTCAGATATTGTGGGAACTGGTTACTTGAGTACTTATGACAACCTATATTTGCTCGATACAATTGCTTCTTATAATGAATCCTTGCATGTGGAATCACGTGGTACTAAGCGTAAATTAAATAAGGAAAATTCGGCGACATTATGGCATAAGCGCTTGGGTCATATCTCAAAAGGTAGAGTTGAGCGTCTTGTGTCTAATGGTATTTTGGATTCCCTTGATTTTTCGGACTTCGACGTATGTGTTGAATGTATCAAGGGAAAACATATCAAAGTTAAGAGATTAGGTGCCAACAGATTTTCGGATGTCTTAGAATTGATACATACGGATATTTGTGGGTCATTCCCTACGGAATCCTGGAATGGTCAACAATATTTTATATCATTCATAGACGATTACTCACGTTATGGGCACCTATATCTTATTCATGAAAAATCTGAGTCTCTGGACATGTTCAAAGCCTATAAAGCTGAAGTTGAGAATCAACTCAACAGAAGAATTAAAACCGTCAGATCTGATCGTGGTGGTGAGTACTACGGTAGATATGATGGTTCAGGTGAACAACGTCCAGGACCATTTGCTAGATACCTAGAGGAATACGGTATCATCCTACAGTACACAATGCCGTGTTCACCTAGCATGAATGGTGTAGCTGAAAGACGAAACAGGACTCTTAAGGATATGGTAAGAAGTATGATTGCTCATTCTTCTTTACCAGAGTCTCTCTGGGAAGAAACACTAAAGACAGCAACTTATATTCTGAATAGAGTACCAAGTAAAACAGTAGCTAAAACACCTTATGAGCTTTGGACTGGCCGAAAACCCATTTTAAAGCATTTACATATTTGGGGATGTCCAGCTGAGGCAAGGCCTTATAGGCCAAATGAAAAGAAATTGGACTCCAAAACAGTTAGCAGCTACTTTATTGGGTACTCTGAACGCTCTAGGGGCTATAAGTTTTATGATCCCACACTAAGGAATATTTTTGAGACGGGAACAGCAACATTCTTTGAGGATGTTGAGTTTGGGGGGAGAAATAAGGTCAGAGACATTGCTTTTGAGGAGGAATTGGCTTCAGATCCAATTCATACAGTTACTTTTGACAATATTCAGGTTCCTATACTTGTTGTTGCTCAAGAAGTAAATCCGAAATCTCAAGATGACAATATTGAACAACTCCCTGTTCCAGAAGAACAAACTCAACAACCTCAAGAACCAGTGCCATTAAGGAGATCCACGAGAGAAAGGAGAAATGCTATTCCGGATGATTATATTGTATTTCTCCAAGAACATGAGGAAAGTAGTGGAATGTTAGAAGATGATCCAATCAACTTTCTCCAGGCCATGAAAAGTTCTAACTCTCAATAGTGGATTGATGCCATGAATGAAGAGTACAAGTCTATGCAAGACAATAAGGTTTGGGAACTTGTCCCATTACCAGAAGGTGCAAAACCAATTGGTTGTAAATGGATTTTTAAAACCAAGCGGGATGCAAACGGTAATGTGGAGAGGTATAAGGCACGTCTTGTAGCTAAATGCTTTACTCAAAAGGAAGGCATTGATTATACAGAGACTTTCTCTCCGGTTTTATCGAAAGACTCTTTCAGAACAATCATGGCACTTGTTGCTCATTATGATCTTGAGTTACATCAGATGGATGTTAAGACTGCATTTCTCAATGGAGACATTGATGAGATGATTTATATGGTGCAACCAGAAAACTTTGTGTCAGGAGACCCAAAGAATATGGTTTGCAAATTAAGGAAATCCATCTATGGACTCAAGCAAGCTCCTCGTCAATGGTATCATAAGTTTCAACAAATAGTTATCTCGTTCGGTTTTGAGATGAACATTGTTGATGACTGTGTATATCACAAGTTCAGTGGGAGTAAGTATATTTTTCTGGTTCTGTATGTGGATGACATCTTGCTTGCCACTAATGATATAGGCATGTTGCACGAAACCAAGAGATTTCTATCAAAGAATTTTGAGATGAAAGATCTTGGGGACGCCTCTTTTATATTAGGGATCCAGATACATCGAGATCGCTCTCGGGGTATTCTTGGATTATCACAAAAGAGCTATATCGATAAGGTACTTAAAAGGTTTGGCATGCAAGACTGCAGACCAGGAGACACCCCTGTGGCTAAAGGAGACAAATTTAGTCTCAATCAGTGCCCTAAAGGTAACCTTGAAATTCAGGAAATGCAGAAGATTTCTTATGCTTCGGCTGTAGGAAGTCTAATGTATTCTCAGGTATGTACGCGTCCGGATATTGCGTACATTGTTGGAATGTTAGGCAGATACTTAAGCAACCCTGGTATGGATCATTGGATAGCAGTCAAAAGGGTTATGAGGTATCTTCAGAAAACAAAAGATTACATGCTCACATACAGAAAATCAGAGAAATTAGAGGTCATTGGGTATTCGGACTCTGATTTTGCTGGATGCCAAGATAGCAGGAAGTCTACATCAGGCTACATTTATATGTTAGCAGGAGGAGCTATATCATGGAAAAGTGTTAAACAGACACTCGTAGCTTCCTCTACTATGGCAGCATAATTTGTAGCTTGCTATGAGGCATCCAATCAGTGAATATGGCTGTGAAACTTTATCACGGGACTGCGTATTTTGGAAAATATGGAAAGACCACTAAGATTATATTGTGACAATAAATCTGCAGTAATGTATTCCAATAACAACAGGAGCTCAACTAAGTCAAAACATATTGACATTAAGTTCCTGGTTGTGAATGAAAGGGTACAGAGTGGACAGATATCCATAGAGCACATTGGGACAAACTCCATGATAGCTGATCCTCTTACTAAGGGATTGCCACCCAAGGTCTTTCATGAGCATACTGCTCATATGGGTGTGGTATTATTTGAGGATATCATGATTTAGTAGGAGTTTGTAATTGTGGTGCTTTATGTTTGGTTGTATTGTATGATCAGAATAAAGTATTCAGTTAAGACACTCTGTTACATTATGTTTGGTTTTGACCTTACTAAAGGAGGATCAGTTGAAAATAGACATGTACTGATCACATTGCATGTAATTTTCATGCTGCACATCCATGTTTGATCTATGTCGTTTGATTGTATTGGTATATGTGACCATTGATGGGTCGAGTCACGATAAATGTGACGAAGGCCGCTTTGATCCTATATTGATATAGTCAATGGACGAGATTGTTCGGAAATACCATTTTCAATGATAGCAGTTTTTGAGCTCATAAGGTTATACACAATTTAAGGAATCATATGGTGCCCAAGTGGGAGATTGTTGGATTTAATCTAATAAATCTATTTGTGGGCACGTATGATTAATTAATGTGTATTGCTATCTTTCAGGATAACCCACTAAAGTGATCAATTAATTTGGGTTAATGGGTATTTAAATAAGTCATGGGGTTATATGTGCAGATACCAGGTTGTAACTGTAATTTGATGATGGACCAAATTACAAATATACAATACCTATATATATGGGGTTATGGTCCCTAATCTAGGGTTAGTCACTCTCATTCTCTTATCCCCATCTAAAGAGATCCATAAGAGAGAAACCCTAAGGTTAGAAGATCATCAAAACCCTAATTAAGTTTTCTTCAATGGATTCAGGTATATGCTTCCGCACCTTTTGATTCTTGTTAATCTGTTTGAATTAAATCATGGCTTTATGGTTTAGATCTCAAGTTTTATTATTCAGATCTAACATGGAGGTGGTTCGGTCGGGGTCGGTGCGACGAGCTCGGAGGCGGAGCTTGGGCTGCTGCGTTTGGGTTCTTTGGGGAAGAGAGAGAAGAATGAGAGAAGGGGATGATTATTTTAATAGGGAAGAGAGTTTGATTGGAGAGAGAGAGCGAATCTGAAAAGTGATTTTTGATTTTTTAGGCTGAATGCGTACGCACTTATGCGTATGAGAAACGCACTGTATTAATTATAATATATATTATATATATATATATATATTATATATATAATATATATATATAGAGAGAGAGATAGAGAGAGAGAGAGAGAGAGGAGAGAGAGAGGAGAGAGGAAGAGAGAGAGGAGAGGGAAATATGGATATGCTTGGTAGCTCAAGCACAAAACTTTGGCTTGGTAGTGAGGTGGCCTATATGCGCCAGCTCATCAAATGGAGGGCGGACGCACATTCACATGGGTTGAATGTGGTCCCCCCAATTGAATGAGTGGGATGGAATACCACCGCTCAACTACCTAAGCACAAAATTTGTGGCTTGGCTACCAAAGCATACCATTTTTCTCATATATATATATATAATTATATATATATATATTATATAATTATATCATATATATATATATATATGAGAATATGGTATTGCTTGGCTACCGAAGCACAAAATTTGTGCTGGTAGTGAGGCGTGGCATATTATCTTCCACTCTTTTAATGGGGGACCACATTCACATGAGTTTGAATGTGGCCCCCCCAAGTTGAATGAGGTGGATGGATGAGGACACTCACTACCAAGCACAAAATTTTATGCTTTGGTACCAAGCATACCCATTTTCTCTCTCTCTCTATATATAATATAACTATATTAATATATATATATATATATACTAATTAATATTATATATATAATATTATATATTATTGACAGAAAAATGGGATATGCTTTGGTACCAAGCACAAAATTTTGTGCTGGTAGTAGATGTGTCACATCCTCATCTCACTCACTAGTCCTTGTGCAATGTGCGGTCCCATATTTGAATGAGTGGAGGAGGTATGATGACACATCACTACCAAGCAACAGCACCTTGGCATTTTTGCTTGGCCTAAAAGATACCCATAATGCTTCTCTCTCTCTCTCTGCCTAGCCTCTCTATATATATATATATATTATATTATATATATATATATTATATATATATATAATATATATTATAATATTATATATATATATATATATAGATATATATATATCTATCTATATATATGCTCCATAGCACAAAATTCAGTGCTTAGTAGTAAGGTGCACAATCCCTCCACTCTTCAAAAACATGGGAACTATCATTCACATGGGTTGAGCAGTGCATGTGAATATTGCAATCATTTAAATGATGGTGGAGATGGATATCGATCAATTCACTACAAATCATACCCGTTTTCTTATATATTTTTTATATATATATTATATATATATATATATATATTATATATATATATAATTATTATATTATATATATTATATATATATATATTATATAATATATATATATATATATATATATCATATATACACACACACCAGCAAATTCTTTTAGTACGGAAAAATAATTAAAAGAAAGGGTTATTCGCCTCAAAACTTCATTCTCTCCTTTTAGCCCATCAAATCTAAGAAATTGTTTATTAGTCTCTCGATTCCTAGGGTTATTGCAATTTGGTCCCTCAATGACAAAATTGCTCTTAGCTAATATGTATTAATGCTTATTTGCAATTTGGTTCTCTAAAATTTACATCTTTTGAATTTTGATACTCCAAAGTTCATAAATTTTTACTCTTTAATACCTGAAATATTTTTTGATATTTTGCTACCAAAATGGACACATTCTTTAACTTTCATATCCCAAAGACTCCATATATTTTTTAACTTTGATACCTCAACACGTACACGTTTTTTTACTTAGATACCCTAAAGTATGAGGTATCAAAGTGCCAAAAACAAACTTTGAGGTGATAATATTAAAACAGTAAATGCTTATCATAAACCGTCAAAAAAAAAGTAAAACAACTCACAAAATGTGTAAACTTTAGGGTACCAAAGTGACAAAAAACTCTAGGATATTGAAGTTAAAATCTGTAAACTTTAGAGTAATTAAGTGCAAATAACCTTTTTTCAACAAGATTAGTTTTTTAGAGAAAAATCATAACCAAGGAGTATTTTTGGTCGTTGAGGGACTAAATTGCAAGACCTCTTAGGATTTGAGGGACTAATGCGCAATTATTTAGACGTGAGGGACTCATATATGGAGTTACAGGAGATGTAGGGGACTAATATCTAAATAACCCCAACACAGAAAATGAAGATCACCACAGAGTTCGACCACAGCGTGAAGCCTGAAGAGGGTCTAACTATTCACACTCTCAAACAGTAACTTTGGGGGTGTGTGAGGACTAAATTGCCCTTCTCCCAAACCAAAACAAGCCAAGTCCATTTCAGAAATACCCTCAACATCAAAAGGGCATTTTCGACAATCTAACTCCCAAAATTACTGTTTGGAAGTGGATATAGTAAACATGGCCTGAAGACCAAATTTTTTTAATTTTAATTTATTTTTCTTCGAAATATTTACTGGAGCCCCTCATTCTCTCTCCTCAAAGTTCCCCATCGCTCTCTTTCCTCCAATCATCGCCGACCAATTCTCGACCCAGATCGTCGATAAACCAACATCATGTCCGCGATCGGAGAGATCCAGCGGAAGAGGATCGCGGCAACGCTTCAGGCGATCTGCGCTGCGAAGTACGTGAATTGAAGGGCCTGTTCATGGGCTCTGTGGGGGCGGCGCTCAACAGATTTGCATTGAAAAGCTTGGGAATAACCCATGTTTTGATTGTGGCTAAATCGCTTGATCCTGCTTTTCCCAATGATTTCATTTATAAGAAAATCGAAGGTACAGCTTGTTTGCACTCTAATGCCCCAAGGTTTTCGAACTGCCGGTACAACCCGACCCGTCAATGTTTTAACTCTGTCCTTCTCTTTTCCCAAACTTAAGAAAAAAACTGGAAGTTGGTAAGAGAACTGTGTATTGTTCACTTGTCTGTGTTGATATTCTTGAACAGAATTAGAGCAAATTTTTTTTGGGCACTTTGAGGTATCAAATTGTTAAAAAAAAATGAAAATTTTAGGGTCTTAGAGGGTGAATAAACTGAATTAGTAGTTGTCTATACTGTCTAATTGTCCATAATGGCGTCAAGTGTAACTGGTATGATTAAATTGAATAATGATATACACACGCATACACGTACATATGTGCACACATACATAAATATATGTACACGCATGGATACACACACATGAACACAGACACGACATGTACACACCCACACATTGACACACGAACATACACAGGCACGGGCACGCACACACATCGCTGGCACTCCTGCTCACACGCGCGCGCACAAGCACATCCACCCACACACCCACCCTTGCATAAGATTGAAGGCACAGTGTTAGCCTTCCGAATTACTAGGCTTATTTGCACTTTGATACCCCAAAATTTTCTAATTGACGTTACAATCTTAGGCGTCCATCACTCTATCTATGTCAATACCCTAACTTTATTCCTCACTTTTCCTAAACTTAAAAAGTTGAAATTTGTTTCTCATTCACTTTTCTATGTTGATAGTCTTGAACAAATTTAAAGTCAACATTTTTTGCAATTTTTTGATGGCTGTATTGAGATTTAACTTATATATGCTCAAAATCAAATGTAAATCACCAACAATAAAGTTAGGATGGTCTTCAAGCCATATTTGAGCCAGTGGGACCATCCTAGTCTTTGAAGCAAACTTGTGAGCCACTGCATTTCCACTTCAACGCACTATATCAAAACTGCATAGCTCAAGTGGATCAGGTCATCTCCTCGCATCATCCGAAATATGACCAAAAGAGGATAATCTCTTTACATTTCCTTTAACATCAGTTACTACTTGGGCAGCATCTTCCTCACAATCATACTCCAAAATAGTCTTCATATGCAAACTTCGGAGCTTCAGAGAGAAATATGTATTCTGCATTTTCCGGACCTCCTCAATTACTGTAAATTTGGATAGTCCATCAAAGAATTGCCTCTATGACTCATACCACTACCCAACTCCAATGCCACTTTCGCAATCAAACACTGCCCGATCAAAGTTGACTTTCATAATCCCTGCAAGCGGAGATTTCCATATCATTGGAACAACAATAGATGGCGATACGACTGTGTTCTTGGGCGAAATCGAAGATTCGAAAACATGGTTATATTTCATCCACACTCGAATTAGTTCATCCCCCTCCATTCAGCGATCCTGTGCTTTATCTCATTTCTGTTTTTCCACAGAAACTAACAAACCATAAAGAATAAATCGGGGTCTCTTGTTCTAATAATGTCTCTTGCTTCCGCCACCACTCTGTTATCACCCAGACACCCTCCCCGACTCAACAAATAGGTAGTCCCGAGGCTGCCCACACCTATTAGGAAAGGACGGCCGTAAAATACGTGCGTCATCGACTCCTCATTCGCCCCTCAAACCCAACAACCATCCTTTAGAGATGTTCCATGCCGATTGAGAACCACCTTTACTGGAATGTTGTTATGACAAATGCACCAAATAAAGTGTTTAATCTTGTTTGGAAAATCTTGTTGCCAGATAAACTTCCAGTCTGTTTAGTCTCTCTTGCTGGATTCCGCCTCTTGTGATCCACCATTTGTTAGGTTTCTCTCTATAGTTAAATGGTACTCGTTACGCACCATGAATAATCCCTTTTATTGCAATGCTATATCAATATGTCTTGATTCTCCATAATGCCCAATGGGATAGTTTTAAAATTTTAATCATTCCAGCTTCTTGATGCTAAAATAAGATGTCTATGAGTTGTTCGTTCCATATCATTCTGGTTAGAAATTAACAAATCACTTACAGGGGCATTCAGAGGGAGAAAAGTCCTTGGAGTTTGGATCTTGAAGGTCCACGGTCTCGGCAACCACCAATGAATCCCCAACACTTGAGAGCCATTTCGAATTTACCTTCTTGCTGCCTCAATCACATCTTTTGCAGAAAAATACTCCTCCATGTAAATGATGGCTTGTGCCTAAGCTAGTAAGCTGAGCCTTAAAGAAGTCTCCCTCTTTAAAATATTTTTAGCTCAAAACTTTGTAGATCGGAGAATTATTATTAGTCACCAATCATAAGCTTGCTTTTTCTAGTAGAGGCGGTGTAGAGCTAAGTTGATTGCATTTAACTTATGGTAACCTAGCCCTCCATATGCTTTCTTTTCGCAAATTTTATTCTATGGGACCAAGTGCATCTTCTTGCTGTTGTTGCGTCCCCACCTAAAATTATGAATGATGCTCTCTAGTCATTAGAAAATGGTTTGGTAGCCTAAAACAAGTCATAATATACGTTGGAACGGCTTGGACTACCAGTTTATTTAGAATTTCTTTTCCGGCCTCTGAGAGAAGTTTTGTTGACCATTCTTGAATTTTAGTCTTAATACCATATCCTTTATGTTTGCAAATACTTCCTGTTTAGACTTACCAACAAGTGAAGGCAACCCCAAGTATTTATCATGAGCAGCTACCTCACGAACTCCCAAGATTGCCACACATTCTTCATGAACAGTTTAAGTATTTTTACTGAATACTACTGTTGATTTATGAAATTTGATCACTTGTGCAGATGCTGCTTCATATCAGTCCAGGTGCGCCTTAATTGCCTCACACTCCTAGCAAGTGTTGAAAAAGAAAAAGCTATCATCTGGAGGAAATAAGTGAGATGATAATGGGCACATCTCCGCTAAGCTGACTCCCTTAAGTATCCCCTTGAATTTGGTTTTCCGAAGAATGGGGTGTTCTGATAGAATCATCCCTTTCTATCAGAATTCCTATAAGAGTGGGACCATATATAGAAGAGTTGTAATACCCAAACTGACCCTGTAACTACTCATGAAGGTGATCACCCCATAGGGGGTGTTCTGATAGAATCCTTACTCACGAATGTGGCATATCAAACTTGTGTTATGAAATGTTTAAAAGAAAATGACTATTAGAGTGCATAACTTGAATTGCTATTTTTCTATATTGTATAATTTCCCACAATGACATCAAATTATAACTGGTATGATTAAATTCAATATTGAGACTGACACATCACATACACACACAGACATACATGTATCATGTATGTAACACATATACATTCATACACATACATATGTACACAATACACACACACGCAAAATGTACATATGTACACATGCATACACACGCATAGACGCCCGAACGTGCATAGAGACAAATTTTTACACTAAAGAAAATAATCTAATCACTAGAACTAATCTAAAGACATAGTTTACTAGAATACTAGTTTGTTAAAGTTTTCTAGTTGAGAATTTTAATTTTATTACTATTTGTTTCTATAGTAAAAGCCAGTGAAATTTAAAATCAGGTAGTTGAAAATGTATTATAAGAAAATTCAAGCTCTGCAACGTGTGCAGATGTGCACATAACGAGACCCCACAAAGAGTGAACAAAATTTAAAATTTAGATTGGGCACTTGTCCTATCTCACAACTCCATTCTCTGCCCATGTTCCATATTGAAGTCTCTCCTATTGTATTAGATCCTTGTAGTTAAAATCAAATAATAACTCTTCTATATTTTCAAATGGTTTAGAATTACAAGAATCTGTGCATGCTATGGATGTTGAATTGGATATCATGTAATTATGTTTAGCATTCTCTGATACCTTTAACATAATCAAGGTGTGATTTACAGGAAATTCAGAAATTAATATTGTATTATCGTTAGATCACATTGTTGATTATAAGTAACATACTTCTGTGGAATTATTGAAACTAATTCAATTTTTTTCCTCCCTTTGTGGGGTTGGACACAGTGCTTGACACCGAAGAAACAAACTTAAGTGAGCATTTTGATGAGTGCTTTGATTTTATCAATGAAGCAAAACAAAGCGGTGGTGGAGTGCTAGTACACTGTTTTGCAGGGAGATCAAGAAGGTATTTAGTTTTTCTGTCCATCTCTTTTTGGTAAGAACCTTATCGTATCTAATAAAAAACGATTATACTACATGCCAACATGATGAGTTATTGTGGAATCCAGAAATAATTACTTCCTGCAAGGTTCAGTGAATTAGATCGTGGTTCCTAACTAGTGTTTTAAACATCGGCCGATAAAACGATATTATCGGGTGATTTATTGGGGGCCTTCCGCTGTGATAAGTTTGATTTTAAATCAATTATCATTTTTGGATGTTTATCGGCGATAATGTAGCGATAAAGTGAGTAATCAGCCGATATTGTCGGCTCAAAATATCATAATTATCGGTCTTTGGTTTGGGTTTGGGTTTTCTCTTTGGACGTTCAAGAATTACAAACTATTTGTGGCTTTTGGAACTTGATTATTTGGTGATTAGCTTATATTTGTTTATGAATATTGACATGCCTCATAACTATTAAATCTCAACTTAGTAAGTTAGTTTATATCCTCGTGGTTACACAATAGTTATGTTGATGATTCTTCATTCTTTATGTTATCTTGTTATTTGCTTGTATGTTATTCCATTTTTACTGACTATACAATCGAATGGTTTCCTCGTGCGATCAAGAAGCAAGTTTCTACCATCGGTTAGTGATCTAAACATGATTATTTACAATTTGATATGTTTATATTTTATTACGTATGATTAGATTACATTTTAGGATATTATAATATGTATATACACTAGCCGGTAATATCACTTCGATAAATATGACTTATCCAGTTATCCCTGATATATCCCCAATATCCGCTATCCGATATGGATTTTGACTGTTCGATAAATCCATGATAACTGATATCTAAAACATTGTTCCCAACTTGATTGTTACTTTTCATAATGCGTGTTCGTTATTAGTTGAAAGGCAACAAATCAGAACATTTATTCTTTATGGAGTGAACCTTCATATGTATCATCGTTATTCAAGTCTGTTACTATCTAAATTACATTAGATGTAGGAGATGACCCAAAATGGAGAAAACTTCACTTATGAATTAGTTAAATTTACCAGCTAGTTATTAGCTTCAAATGGACCTTTTACATAGTTATGTCTCACTCCTGATGTCTTTAACGAAGGGATTTCCCTTCGTTAAAGAGCTAAAAACCTTCGTTATTGTATGCTAACGACGAGAAAAAATCCCTTCGTCGCCCATCGTTGAAGCCTTCTTCGCTAAAGGGTCACGAATGTTATAATACCCGTCGTTATAGAGTCTATAACGATGTAACATATTATCGTCGTTCATATCTGTGACGGTAAATATCACCGTCGTTACCATCAGTGACGTGGATATTTCCCATCGTTACCATCAGTGACGGGGATTTTTTTCTCGTCGTTACCATCAATGATGGGGATTTTTTCCCGTCCTTACCATTATTTATGAGGATATTTCTCGTCGTTACTTTAAATGATGGTTTCTCATTCCCGTTGTGTAATAATAGGTGACAACCCCGTCGTTGAAGACCAATTAATGACGGTTGGATACCGTCGTAAAAGTCCTAATAATGGGTAATTAGTAACCCATCAACGATGGTGTTTTTCCTTCGTTGATGAACAAAATACGGTTTATAAAACCATCATTATAGACTATAAAATTTTAATATACATTAATGACAATCTCTCCATTCATAAGCAACTATCATATAATTCTCAACATGACACTAAGAGTCACAATACAAATATATTAAAAATACATAATAATGAATAAAAGGCAAAACAAAAACTTTATTTATTAATAACATCAATAAATAAAATTTCACCATCCTCAAATATTTAATACTAGTAACAAGAGTTAATATCTCAATTGTTCCAAAGAATACGTGAAACTATCTAAAATAAATTAAAAGAAAAGTCTGAAAAAGACACATCCTTTCATCTCTAATCATCATCAAAAGAACACTCGAGCTACCTCTCCTAATCTTGCATGGATAACCTGAAAAATTAAAAAATTCACATAATTAAGAAATATCAATTAAGCAAATGTTATCTTATTAAGTAAAAATCGTATTTTCTCTAGTGCAAGTAGTCAATCATAAAAGTATATAAGATATTTTACAAAAAATAATTACCTTGTCTTGCACATGTTCTCGAGTTTGAGGAGTCAATGAAGATGGTTGCCTTAAAAAAAGTTCCCGCATAACTTCTACTTATGACTCTAAGTCGGACATCCTTTGTTGTTGTTGATGTTGTTGTTGCTCCTGCTCATCTAAGCGTTGTTAAAACATCTGGTTCTTTCTCTTTTCTTCTATAACCCGTGCTTCCAGGTCAAATCGACTAGGGAGCGATGCTCTCAAATCTTTCAAAATAGTCCCGCTATCAAATACAGTGATGTGACAATGAGATTGCTTCCCCCATATTTTCTCAACTATCTCAATGTCTGAAAGTGAAGGGTTTGCATGTTTGACTTGGATAATTTCATCCTATAAAAATTAAATTCATATGTTAGTACTATATAATGCATCATTATTAAACTTAAAGACATATTCTACTTACATATTTATCTTGATCCCCAGTATCTAGTGTTTCATTAGCTTTCTTTCAGGTTTTATAGAACATTTTGCCACATCACGTGGATTTCCTGACTTGCCACCCTTATTCAAATATTAAATAAAAATGAGTACAACATCAAATTAAAAAAAAATAATTTTAATTAAATAGAAAATTAGTTTTGAATGTATATCAAGTCCCACGCAATTTGTTTAAAGGTTTACTGATTGTGTGGTGGAGCATCTTTCTTTTACACCTGTTAAGTGTATTTTGTTGGCTTGCTTTCTATACATCAAGATTAAAAGATAATTTCAACAATCCAGCAATATACATGGAACAAAATAAATAAAATTAGGAGATTAATATCTGAAATTTTGAAGAAAAATTATGTTCCTTAACTAGCCAATCCCAGTCATCAACACTCACTTCTGCAGGTTTATTTCTAAATGGAACTTGCAATGAATTTTTTTCACATATTTTCTGTGCATGTCACCACGCTACTTATTCCACAAACTGCGTAAGTGTTTCATTACTAAATCTCTTTTTTGCTCCATGTCCTCGGCATCAAATGTATCCTACAAAAAATTTGAATCAGAATATAATTTATAAGAATTAAAGACCAATTATAAAAAATTAATTTCAAAGTACCTTAATGGATGCCCACATATGATCTTTATTTTGTTGTGGTATTTTGGCCCAATTCTCAATAACTACTGGGCAAATATTCCTATCACGAATAATAATTCAAAAACCGAAGCAACATTGTGAATGATTTATTACTCCACCTATTTAGGCTCCTTATGTGAAGTAATTTCACTAAGGCAGATAACTTTGAACATTTAGAATATCCTGCTCAAGAATCACCTAAAAGTCTGTAGAATTATTTTGCATGTCCATCTGGTTCCTGCTCAAGAATATCCTGACTCGACGTGGTATCGGGTGCAACAACGCTAGGTGAATTATGAAATAAATCTCTAATCATTTCTTGTATTTCATCGTCACTCTGGCTTTCTTCTGCCATTTCTTCTTGTTCTTCATGAGACTCAGATATGGACTCACCCTGTCTTTCGTCGTGATGACACTAAAATCTGTAGTTTTTAATAATTCCATGAACAACCAAGTAGGTCTTTACCGACTCACGATTATCAGACTTCACATTGCTGCATTTAACACATGGACATCGAATTTTAATGTTGCCATTCTTTTGATTGAAACTATTAAACAGCTTCTCATATGCATAGTCTAAAAAGGTATTAATCCCTTCTTCATATTTTGGATCAAGTCTATCATCATCTACTAGGTCCATCCAATCTTTATTCGGTGTCATTTCAAGCAATGTACTAATGCTAGATATTCGACTCTATAAAACAAAAAAAAACAATATAATTAGTTTATAATTAGATTGTGGTTTAATAAAAATCGACTATATTTTACTTGTACACACAAGTATTGTATATATTTGCAAATATCCCCTCCAAAGCACCATTTTACTAATTTGCCCTCTAAATTGTCTTTTCGATTTAAGCTTATGTCTCAAATTGAACGAATATTTAATGACCAAGCAAATCCAATACACATTTAGTTAGTTTCAATTTGTTTATGAACTGAATAACAAATAGCTATTCATTTACTGTCAAATGAGATAGCGAATCAAATATGATCGAACAGCTGAATGAATAATAAGTAAACTGTTTATTGATTAATTGGTTCACTTCCACCACCACCTCTAGGCTCATGAAACACATCTACTATTATTGTTTAAGATGCATATATTGCTATTGTCTGAGAAAAGTTATTCTTAGATATTCTACACCCATATTAATGACCTTTAAAAATATGGAGATGTACTACAAAAATTGTACACATGACTTCGAATTTTACAACCTAATAGAGAGATGGAAAAAAATAACAAACAACCTAATTGACTCGTTCTTTTTATGTTTCTAAAATCTTTGTGACCCAAACTACAAGTAACAAATGCTATAATAATTAACAATATGGTTTTTTATACATAAATTTGTGATGGATTGTTTTATGTAAGTGATAAATATCAATATGGTTTGTTATACATTAATTTGCAATGGTTTGTTATACATAAGCGTTCAGTCAAATATAATCATTGGATTGTTATACATAAGATTGTAGATGATGTCAAATATAAAACATTTTAATTCAAATTGACAATAACATTGAAGCAACGTGTAAGTTAATGGAAAAAACATTGGGTAAGGTATGTGATGATATGTTGTTTAAAACTAATTATAAACTTACTGTGTTGTGTCATGCATACGAGCAAAAACCGATTTCCTTGTCCAAATAAATAAAACAAAAATATTGTTTTTTGTTTTGTTTTATAGAGTCGAATGTCCAGTACTAGTATGAGATTAAATAAATCATTGAGCAAAGTATAGGGTAGTTTAAGTATAGGGTACTAGAGTGCAATTAAATCAAACAAAAACTATAAGGTAGTTTAAGTA